AATAGTATACAAAAACCCAGTTGTGTCCAGGCTATCAAACAATTTCACATGGAATTGTCAGCCGATTACAGGGTTGATCACTCAAATCCAACGCGGTATATGATCTATTGCCGTAACGAGGAGTTCCCGTTCAAATTAACAGCATCTTTCAGGAAGAGAAGCGATTCCTGGAAGATAGGGTCAATGGGTCCGTCCCACAGCTGTATCATCTCGAATCCGATGCAAGACCATCGCAAACTAAACTCTAAGTTGATTTGTGATGAGATTCTTTCAGTCGTCAGCGACAACCCATCTTTGAAGGTGAGTACCATAATTGCGCATATGGTACAAAGGTACAACTACACTCCTTCGTACCGAAAAGCCTGGATAGCCAGGAATAAAGCTGTTGAAATGGTGTTTGGAAATTGGGAGGAGTCATACAAGGAACTTCCTAAATTCCTAGTAGCCCTTAAACACTACTCTCCAGGAACTGTTGTGATATTGGAGACGTTGCCTGCTTGTACACCAGACGGGAGTTATGTTGCTGGCAATGGAATTTTCCACAGAGTCTTTTGGGCATTCGAACCATGCATCAAAGGGTTTGCATTTTGTAAACCTATAATTCAGATTGACGGAACCTGGCTTTACGGGAAATATAAGGGCACACTTCTAATGGCTGTGGCACAAGATGGGAACAACAACATTTTCCCGATAGCCTTCGCCATAGTTGAAGGGGAGACTGCTGGGGGTTGGAGTTTTTTCTTAAAAAACCTACGGTCATACGTGTCTCCCCAACCTAACTTATGTTTGATCTCCGATCGACACCCATCCATCGAGAGTGCTTACAACAACCATGACAATGGTTGGCAGGATCCTCCATCGACCCACGTCTACTGCATAAGGCATATTGCCCAAAATTTCATGAGGGAGATCAAAGACAGGACGTTGCGGAAGAAGGTTGTGAACGCGGGGTATGCACTAACTGAACCAACATTCAGATACTACCGTGACGAGATTAGACTGAACAACGCGGATGCATTAAGATGGATTGACGGCATTGATAGGGAGAAATGGACGCGAGCATACGACAATGGGGTGCGATGGGGCCACATGACAACCAACCTCGTCGAGTCAATGAATTCTGTTTTCAAGGGAATTCGAAACCTCCCAATAACTGCGTTGGTAAAGGCAACCTATTTTAGGATGGGATCACTTTTTGATAGCAGGCGTGCGAAGTGGGGTTCGGTATTACAATCGGGTCAGCTGTACAGCGACACTGCAATGAAATTCATGAAAGACGAAGCTGCCAAAGCCAACACCCACGTGGTCACAATATTTGACCGTACAGCTGGTTGGTTCAGTGTTGCCGAGGCTATAGATCACAATGAAGGAAGGCCCATGGGATGTTATCGTGTTGAATTAGATAAGAGCTGGTGTGATTGTGGAAAGTTTCAAGCATTCCGTATGCCTTGCTCTCATGTCATAGCAGCTTGTTCGAAGGCGCGCCAGGACCCAACCAACCTTCTTTCTGCAGTTCACAAAGTCATAAGTATATGCAATGTCTACTCATGCAGTTTTCAGGTGTTGGCAAAGGAGGACTATTGGCCTAAATACGAAGGCCAAATTGTTTGGCATAATGACTTGATGCGCAGAAAAAAGAAGGGTCGGCCTAACAGCACGCGCATACGAACCGAGATGGATACCTCGGATAAGCTAGTGAGATTGTGTAGTTCGTGTCGGCAACCAGGACACAATCGTACGACGTGTCCAAACGTAGGTCCGAGCAGCAGATCATAGTTTCATTTGTAAACGTGTCCATTTAATTCAATAGTAACTTTCATTTGATTAAAATCAAATTTCATGCTATTACAGGCAGAGGTAACTGCAAATTTCCTTCTATTACAAGCAGAGTTAACTTTCATAAATTAAACAAACATAACAACAAATTAAAAAGATACACCAAAACACCGGAACAGAGCGTCTACGATATCACGACCATCAACTTTATCTCCTTTGGTGTCAACATCATCACAAGGACGCCGACATCATTTTCCACTTTTCTCCATTCACGAGTAACTCCGTTTCTATCGGTCTTCTCCACCAACCTCTCAATTTTCCTAATCTTTTCTCCTGGAGCAATATCCCCTTCTAGCCAGCGGTTCAGTTCCCTGTGCAAGTGCTCCAACGTCTGCGTATTCCACAGGAGCACCTTCATCAAAGGCTTTGTTGCTGAAAACACCACAAGGGCATTTCTTTTCATTATATCAAACGTTGGAAAAGGTTCCTCCGATGCTGATGACGAAGAAGAAGAACGTTGATTCAGAAATGCAGACATTATGGACTCCGCTCAACTCAAACCGCACTACCGCTTTAGTCTTTTAGGAAATAATGTTGTGAAAAAAACATGTGTTTGAGCTCGTATTTATAGCAAAAAAAAATGATAATTAAAAAACGATAAGTTAGTGCGCAAATACATCACAACAAGTGAAAATAAAATGCAAAAGGATTGATCCTCCTCAGGGATCGAACCCAGGCTAGCAAGGTGAAATGCGCATTTGATGACAAAGTGATTACCACTGGGGTGGCTATACATCCATTGATGAATGCCACCCCAAAATTATATAAGGAAAGTTTAAAACCCTAGCTGGGCGATTTAGCAAGCAACCCAATTTATTTTAAATTTATAATTTCATAAAATAATTTAACCTTTTAAACTTAATTTTTTTAATATTATAGATGACATTATAAATTATATTATAAATTAATATTAATATTAATTATATAAATATTAATTAGATTATAAATTTATATATTTTATGGTTAATAATAATAATAACTAAAATAAAAAAAGCATGAAAACGAAAACCCTAATCAGTATAACCAATTCGCCAATTGGTGTGGCGAATGCCCACAAAATAGACAATGTCGCCAATTGGTTTGGCGAATGCCTTGAAGCCCATTTGGCCTAATTCGCCAATTGGTTTGGCGAACGCATGTTAGTCCATTTTCAAACATTGCCAATTTGGTAATATTTTTGAAATAGTAATTTATTTGGTAAATAAAAATTAATACATTGCTACTTTAAAAAAAAAAATTCTAAAATTAAAGCTACTTACTCGCTGTTTGCAAGAACACTTCACCACAAAAAAACACATAAATTTTTAATTCGCTATTTACTTCCGAAGAAAATAAAATTCTTAAATCAACAAGAAAGTAACTTCTATTATTTAATAAAAATCAATTGAGCTACATCTTTTTGCAAAGATTAATTTAATATTAAAAAGTTACAAATAACTTCTATTATTTTTTGAAAAATAAATATCAAAATTTTTTTTTTAAAAATATAATTTTTTCTTAAAATTTATAAGGAAAAGTCCTTAGTTGTAGGATACCTAAATTTGATAAAGAAAGAAATATTAAAAACAAGAGTAACTTCAATATGACTTAGTTAATTATTTTAGTGTCCAAACTAAACATGCTTTAGCTGATAAAGTGGAAGAGAAAAAACGGATTACAAGTAGTTTGTAGTATAATAATATTTAGTAAATATTGACATGTAATTTAAGCCTTAACACATCATTAAAAATTTGATCAATATGGCAATGACACACGTCATCACTATAGTGACATGTCATTGAAAAATAGTCATAAATGTGTAGGAGACTAAAATTCTAAAAAAAAAAAACTTTACAAAGAGACTGAAAACACAAAATTTAAAATAGGAAATTAAAATCGAAAAAACTAAAAAGATCAAAGTTGTAATTAAAATTATTTTAATTAGAATATAATATTGCATTAATTTATTATTTCTTAATATTTAATTTGTTTTAATATTATTCGTTAGTTCTGTTTATCTATTTATTTTTTAATAACATAATTGACCATTCACTTTTTCCTAGTTTTAATTTTTAATGTATTAAATGCTGTATCTTATTTTATAATAATTTCTTAATAATAATATTAATAAGAAAATTATAATTAATAATTTGATATCCTAAAATCGACGTAAACTTAAAACTACTTTGAATAGCTTTCCATATATCGCCTACAATTTACAAGAACAATACACCTAATTTATAAGAATAAAAAACTAAAACTATACTGAACATGAAAAAAAAAACAGTATTGAGAAAATCTAGTCAAATATTTTTAAAAAAATATCTTTACAGAATTGAAACTATATATATATATATATATATATATATATATATATATATATATATATATATATATATATATATATATATATATATATATATATATATATATATATATATATAAAGCATATTTGAAAATTCACATGATATATAAGAAACATCTAGAGGTCGAAAAAGAAATTCACAAATAATATCATAACTATAAATATCAATTGAGTTAACTATTAAATAAAATTTGATTAAATATTTAATTATTAAAATTATATTTAATGGGGGAAAACGGTTCTTCAAAAAAGGATCTAATATCAAATGAGGCTTCAAACATTATGATGAAACGGAAGTTAAATAATTAATCAATTGAAATAAAATAATATCATAACTATACATACAATTAAGTTAACGATTAAATAAAATTTGATTAAATATTTAATTATTAAAATTATATTTAATTATTTAACTAGATAAGAAAGTGTTCGAATTTAAAATTAAAAGTAAAATCAAAAGAAAAAACCCTACACACAATTGTACAACAGAAAACCTATTAACACTCCTTGGATAAGAATAAAAAACTAAAACTATACTGAACATGAAAAAAGAAACAGTATTGAGAAAATCTAGTCAAATATTTAAAAAAAAATATCTTTACAGAATTGAAACTATATATATATATATATATATATATATATATATATATATATATATATATATATATATATATATATATATATATATATATATATATATAGTATACCACTTACCAATATATATATATATATATATATATATATATATATATATATATATATATATATATATATATAGTATACCACTTACCAATACACAGAAAAAAATAGAGAAATTGAAATGAACCAGAGAGGTTTGAGTGATAGTATGGAGATGCCATCATACTTATATTTATATCCCATTCAAGAAGATGAAGTTGATGTGGCACCACAAATATGGGATGCTTTTATTCTCATCAACAATGCTTCAGCCAATGAGTACAAAGCTTTTTCTCCAAAGAAAAGAATTCACCATTGGAATAAACAACAGCACAGGTATATATAAAATTCAACAAGTTTATTTATTTTTTAATTTTCTAGATTAGGTTAATCATTTTACTTATCACATATTTTTCATTAAAATTTTAACTCACTCGCCATTTTCATTTATAGGTTATTTTTAGAAGGACTCGAAAGGTATGGAAAGGGTAATTGGAAAAAGATTTCAAAACATGTTGTTTCAAAATCATGGATTCAAGTTGCTAGGCATGCTCAAAGGTATTTTAAGGCAGTTCAACAAAAAAATTATTTTATCAAACAAGAAGAAGGAAAGAAGAAGCAAATTTGACAAGATTCCTTCATTCTATGGAAAATTTTATTCTGTTGGGGTCTTTAATTTCATCCAAATTCAACCATGTAAAGAGGAATTCCTACAACAAGAAATTCAACAAATCCAACAAACAATACCTTTATTATGTAGCAATTTTATCATCCAACAAAAACTTGTTACTATTTTATTAGTCTGTTTCTTTTAACTACCAACTTATATTTAATCAAATTATGCATAATAATTTCTTATGTTCAAATTTATTTTTAATCATTAAACCTATTTACAAAGTTTTATTCTATAATAAATAAGTTTTTAAAACATGATACTTATTTTGGAATAGAAGAAATATTTTGTGAATAAATATTTTATCCATTGCAGGTAAGCAATGTTGTTAAAATTGCGATTTAAAACCTAAATTTTTAGATTTTATATTTTTAGGTTGAAATTTGGTGTTAAATCACATGTAAAATCGTTTTTAAGTAAAATCGTATATTAAAGTGATTTTATACAATTTAAATTTCTATGAAATCGGTGAAATCATGTAAAATATTTGGATTTTACTTTTTGACTTAATTTTACATTTTTTTCTTAAAACTTTAAAATGCCTAAACCAATAAAACTTCTCCCACTTTATTATTTTATTGACTTTAAATAACCTCTTTTTTCATTAGACATTAGACTTTTTATTTACCAGAGCAATGCAAATTAAAAACTTTTGAACCCTAGCGTCACTTCGCTTATACGACGCCGGACCTGAACTTCAACGACAATATTCTATGAGCTTTCTTCTTTTGCTTGTATATTGTGATGCTTTTGTGTCTTTGTGACATTTTTCTTTAATTGATAAGTATCTAAAAAGTGAGTCTTCTTCACAAATAAAAAATAGAGCAATGTTATGTTACAATGTTATTATGTGATTGTATGTAACTTTGGTTTGTTAATATGTTTGTTACAGTGTTGCTAGTTTTGCTATTGTGTCTTTGGTTTGTTAAATTAGTCTTTTTACTTAATTAACCATTAGATTATGCTCAATTCAAAGGCTATGATTTGAAGTAAGTTAAAAAACGTACTCTTGATGTAAGTTGATCACCAATATATATAAGGTAAACTCTACGATTTTACGTTTCGACCTTATATTACAATTAAACCCTACAGAGATTCAAACGACGACAATACTTTAGATTGTCACCCTCGGGACCCCTGAAACAAGATGCAACAAAATGAATGATGCACTGAGATTGAGAAATCAAGCCTTTTGACTTATGAACCAACAAATGACTGAATGAATATCATCAAGACTAGATAAAATGCCAGAGCTTCTGAATTTTCTTCTGAACCTTGATGAATGCTTTTGACTAGAAGAATGTATGACAAAATGAACGGTTTGCACTATGCGAATGTTATTGAAAACCTTAGGGTAAAATTTAGGGCTTGACAGCTGTCTCTATTTAAATATCTTTAATCAGAAGATATGAAGAACCATTGTCTTCAAATCATCATAGTGAAAGATAGTTTAAATATCGAACAAACCGAAATTTTGCCCTCTTATGCAATAGGACGATATGCTTATGGTTATGAATGAACACAAACAAATACTCATGATTTCTTAATCAACATATGGTGATGCAAAAAAATATAACAAGATTTAGAAAATACTCTTGATTTCATAATCGTCGGTGATATGAATGAATATGGGTTAAGAAGTACTCTCGACTTCTTAAAGATGAATGCAGATGAATTAAGAAATACTCTCGATTTCTTAATCATGAAATGCTAAGAAGTGCTCCTAACTTCTTAAAAATAAATGCGGATGAATAAAGAAATACCCTTGATTCCTCAATCATTAAATGCTAAGAAGTACTCTGGACTTCTGAATGTAGATGAATTAAGAGATACTCTCGATTTCTTAATCATGAAATGCTAAGAAGTACTATTGACTTCTTAAAAATGAAATGATATGAATTAAGAAATGCTCTTTATTTCTTAATCATGGATGTTAAAAATTACTCTCGACTCCTTAAAAATGAAATGATATGAATTAAGAAATATTCTCAATTTCTTAATCATGTGAACGTAAATGATGGTTTAAGAAATAGTCTTGATTTCTTAAAGGTATGCAAGTTAAGAAGTACTCTCGACTTCAAAATAAATGAATGATATGAATTAAGAAATACTCTCGATTTCTTAATCATGAATGTAAATGAACTAAGAAATACTCTCGATTTCTTTGATGCCAATGAAGTAAGAAATACTCTTGATTTCTTAATCATGAATGTTAAGAAGGTTTAATAAATACTCTCGATTTATTAGATGCAAATGGTGAACTAAGAAATGCTCTTGATTTCTTAATCATTAATTTAAATGAACTAAGAAATATCGTTGATTTCTTAGATGTAAATGAAATAAAAAATACTCTTGATTTCTTAATCATGAATGTAAATGAACTAAGAAATATCCTCAATTTCTTAGATGCAAATGAGATAAGAAAGAACCTCGATTTCTTAATCATGAATGTTAAGAAGGTTCTCAAATCCTTAAATATGAACTCACATGAACTGATAAATAATCTCCCTTTCTTAAACATATGCAGGTTAATAAGTACTCTCGACTTCTTAAATATAAATTCCATGAATTAAGAAATACTCTCGATTTCTTAATCATGAAATGCTAAGAAGTGCTATCGACTTCTTGAAAATAAATGCAAATGAATTAAGAAATACTTTTGATTTCCTAATCATACGAAGGTTAATAAGTACCATTGACTTCTTAAAGAATGAAATGATATGAAATAAGAAATACTCTCAGTCTCTTAGTCATATGAAAATACTCTCGATTTCTTAGATGCTATGCAAATAAAATAAGAAATACTCTCAATTTCTTAGTCATGAATGTAAATGAACTAAGAAATACTCTTGATTTCTTAGATGCTATGCAAATTGACTGGGGATTAGAGAATCATGTTCAACTGCTCTTGACTGACAATAGACCTCTGGGGATGAATTTGTTACAAAGTATCACTCATCTATTCTTAGAACATTCTTCGTTGAAGGTAGACTCTTCTTGGGAAGAAATTATCAAATTCAGCTACTCATGGCTAAATGTGTCATACTCAGCAACTCTTGGCTGAAACTATTGTATCCAACTGCTCTTGGTTGAAGATAAATCTGCTGAGAAATAAGAAAAAGACTCTCTTTGGGGAATAACCACATATTCAATTGCTCTTGGCTGATAGTTGACTCCTATAGGGAGTGAGAAGATTCATGAGATTTGTTGGGGAACGAAAGGTTAATACTAACAAAAAGCTTAGTATTACTTTCAACTACCAAACCAAAAGGTTCAATCGAATGCTTCTTCAGAGAGTAGATCATTAAGGATCACTGATTTTGCCAAGGATTGGCTGAAGTAACCTATTGGGGAGCACAAGAGATTCTACGGGGAGTAAACACAATAGGAGACTTGTTGGAGATATACTGATGGTCATTCAGTAAAGCTTTTCTGTTGTGGAACTCTTATCCATTAGACTTATTGGGGAGATTTCTAGCTTAATATGTCCTTTTGAAGAGATGTCCATCTTAGACCAAAACTTCGAAGAGACCTGTTGAGGGTAAAGCTGGTAGGTTTTACTTGACTTAGAAGTCCTGCTAATATGAAACTCGTTTGGGGAGCTCATGAAGTTAAGCTGGAGAAAATTCTTTAGAGGAAACTTTGTAAGGAGATATCTACTGGGGAAACCAGGTAGAAACTCTGCTAACACTAGAGTTCAATCACCTTGCAAGGGAAGAATGGTGTTAAGAATCAACACTAACACTGATTGAATTCTGAAAAATAACTTGTAATGAAGAAAAAGAACTGCTCTATTCTTGAGAACACTCTTGAATCTTGGTTTGCTAAGGATTAACTAAACTTTCCTGAGAGGTTGCAAAATCCGGTTGAGGTTTATGCATGATGTATTTTGTACATGATATGCCAAAATGAATGCATGAATATATTGGTTTATGCATTTTGTGAGTATCAAGATCTAATTCCTCAAAATCCTTGGTCCTTGAATAGCTTTGACACCATGAAAATGGTGTGGAAAACTCTGATTTCTACTATACCGCCTGGAGGGCTTCAGTGGGGACTCTCTTTTCTAGAATAACAGCCACTTCTAACTTGCTTTAGATCAAAATGATTAATAAAATGACCAATGGGATGCCCAATGTTTCGTGAACCGGATGCATAATTTTAAATCAACAAACATTCCTTTAACATGTTCAAAAATGAAAACAATTTAAAATTTTCAAAAGCTTTATATTACTTCCATTTGTTTTAATGTTTTTACTTTATCAAGAAAAAAAGGGACATTATGTAAATAAGTAGAAAAACAAAAGATGATTGACGAAGCAATGTTCAACCGAACATATATATTTGATGAGAAGAATAACTCATACATGGGATACATGAAGATGTAAATCCCTTAAAGAGAAAATTATAGAGAAAGAAAGTGGATAAATGGCAATGAAAATTTTAACTTAATTTCCATCGAAATACAACATTTGCTATTTTCCCCGTATCATCTAGTCTTTATTACTTTGCTTCTGGAGATGGTAATTGGATCGTTTTCTTCCATTTAAGCTCTGGTGCAGTATTTGACTTACATGCTTGTAGTATTACGCATTTGGATATTCCCTAACTTTTGTGTGAACCACTTCTAAGAATTTTCAGTTCACCGAGAGATTTACCTTTTTTTTGCTTAAGCCACCCTTTCGGGTTTTCAATTTACCGAGCTTAATGTTTTATTTTATCCCTAATTTTTTCCCGAGTCACCCTTTTAGGTTTCAACTCACTAGGATGCTAATTTTTTTTGCCTAAGTTGCCCTTTTAAGTTTTCGACTTATCGAGCTTTTATTATCCATCTCTTTTTCTTAGGCATGACACTTCTTCACCACACCAAAATTGACTGGGTGTGTCAACTCTTCTCCATCCATGTTCGTGAGAACTAAAGGTCCACCAGAGAAAGCTTTCTTCACCATATGTGG